ACGCTACTCACACCCTAGCAGCAGCCGATCCGTGTGGACATATATTCGTCGTCTTGTATGTCCCCTCTCCTCTCCATGCCGTGCGGTCTTTTGTTGGTGCTTGCTCTCTTTCCTTTGTCTTTTTCCCTTTCTCAAATATCAGCTCACAATGTGGATTCAGATACGGATAAAGGGGTCACGCAAAGGAGGGCTCTAATTTCTGGCTGAACGACAGAGGGGTCTGCGGTGGTTCACCCCACACACAACCTCGACAGCAGGAAAAAAGTTGGCCGCAATTTGAAGGGTTTCGCACTACCCTGGCCATACCTGTAAAACCATTTTCAGGCAAACGCACTGTTTGTTTGGATAGAGAGAAGACCGAACCAGTGAGTAGCAAAACATTCGACGTACATGAAATGCAGGTAGTAGGTGAACGATCATTGCTAGATCTTGACGCTCGTCGTGCACAGCACGTGCCGCGGAACGAAATAGTTTCACACACTCATTAATTTTGCCACTCATGTGCTTACGGTCATCTTCCTCTTCCACGAACATTTCCGACCAACGGGTACAAAAAATACATATTTCCTCTGCATTGACTAGCTCGGTCATGTGTTGTACACATTAAGAAAGTGTTTCTTCACGTAGACAAACGTCATCATCAGTTGGAATTGGATTTTCCCTTAAAGTGATGCATATAGCCGTGGACTTGCGGTGTTCTCCTAATACTGCTATGTTTCAACAAGGCAAGGCGAGCTTTCGAAGTGCACAGATGTGCATAGATCTCTCCCTGTGTGCATACGAGCAAACGAGATTGCCTTCAGAAGCAAACACTACACCTTGTCCACTCCTCGCACATATACACAAGCAGGTGTGTCGTTCGTCGTAGTATGCCGTTGTCGGGATCGCCTTCCTTTTTCTATTCTTGTTTTCTAAAAACATCATCTTAGTATGTCTGATGGACGAAAACATCCTTCCTCTTCGGTAATGGTTTAACCGCGAAGGCATGCAAAACATGAGTACGTCCCCCACCCCCCCTTCTCTCTGCGTGCGCCTCCCTAGATCTCACCTTCCAGACATCGTAGTCCACAGGGACACCCGCCGACATGGACTCGTGGCAAAGTGCCGCACGCCAGCAAGTGATATTCCTTGGACAGGAAGAAGAGCAGGCTCGGGAGCTCGCGGTCAGCGTTCTGGGCAGGCGGGGGCGATCATTGAGTGTGGGTGCACGTGAAAACAAGAACAGAAGAGCATACTTGTATCCGTTGCAATAGGGAGAGGCGCGTCCGCACGATATGGGAGGACAGACCCCAAGCGGGCTAAGGTAATTTCCTCCGAACTTGTCGGACACCACATCTTGTGCTGGACTATTCTATCCCAGAACGAAACGCGGGGTTTCTGTTTTTTTTCAACAGCTAGCTGGGTGCGAAATCTATCCTGGCTCAGGACAAATGACGGCAATGAAACCCGGCTAGCTTTGCGCGACCCGGTTCTGCTGTAGAGAGCTCTCACCATGGAATGTGTCGTAGAGAGTGGCGTGCCATATGGCCTGTCAAAAATCTACGTTTGGGGCGCTACCACGGAGTACTGATAGCGCCCGGGGATAAGAAACGTCAAAACCGGGTCGACCCTCAATTTCTTATTCTGGGCAGAAGGACCAGCCAAAGTCGGCCATTTTCTTAAAAACAGATTTCACATTCATTTGGCCTGTCGCCTCCTGCTGGTTCTCATTTCTTCATAATTTCTTATTTCTGATGGCGAAGAAAACAACAACACGCCAAGCCTTCATGTAGCAAAAAACCGACACCTGGGTGTGTGGCGAACATTGGGGGTTGTGGGAGAACAGCAGTACAGCGGCAATGTGTAGCGTAGCCCGCGGTGGCGCTGGGGCGATGGGGGCGCCGCAATAATAACCACTCCCCACCCCAATAGGTTACATGCCATGAGCTAGGTAGGGGGTGGGAGGATGGCAGCAGCAGCAACAGTGGGACGTTTCGTGGGACACGCTCCCCCAGCCTCTACCCCTTCCTTGCTTCTGTTGTCTTGGGTTATCGCCCAATCATGTTTCTTACTGGGACATTTCTTACGTTGTTGCCGAGATTGAGCTTTGTTTCTCAGCCCTTTTTTCATATTTTCCGTAAAACATTGAGCCTTTTATCTACAGATTTTTTTTTGACTGCGGGCGCTATCTGTATCAAACATTGGGACACGCTTCGCGCAGGTGCAGCGGGCCAGCTGCCTCTCACGTGACTGTTTTTATTTATTTATTAATTTTTTCCCACAAGAATGGGTCTCTGTGGTCCAAGATCTTACATGCATACGTGTACACACACAAAGCACGGCGGCAAGAATGGTGCAGCACTGAAGCCATGTGTGGGATTGACCGGGATAGGGGACGCGGGTATACGAAAGGGTGATGAACACAGGAGTAGTACTACTGCTGTACTGCAGCAGTACGGCAGTAGTATGAGGAGCGAGAGAGAAATTTTCAGCAGCAGTGCATGCCGTCTCCGACAGTAGCAACCATCCGCACAGAGGATGCACCTGTGCAAGCAATACCTGCTGGTATATCTTCTCTGCCTCATACCTGAACAGATCATACGGCAAGCGAATATGCTTGCAGCGCTAGATGCGAAGATGCTGAGAAGGGGAAACCGCCTCAGAGAAGCGCCAAATCGATGCAAATGTAACGGCCAACTCAGCAAATCGGACCATCATCCCCTATCGCAAAAAATGCATGAAAATCGCGATACAAATTACAATTCTGTACTAAAAATAGAGAACCGTGATCGGAGGTGTGATCGGAGGTGTAGTCGTGCAACCCCTCTCCCTTCAGCGAAAAGTTGCACACAGCAGACGAACCTCGTTTCACTCCCGATACGGGGAACCATACACACCGCAATCACAACAACATCTACAGCACCGAGGCAGTACGTTAGCATCGGCTCCCGCGCGCGTTTTCTCTGCTCTCCCCCGCGCACACGGAACCGGATTGATCACATGCTGAGGGTGCGGTATGTACCCTCTCCCCCCGTGGTATCTTGCGTTTGATCTTACGCAGCCGGTAGGCAGTAGACTAGATCTGGAAAGGATATCTGCCCCACATCGGGGATAGCCCCACATCAGGTACATTCGTGGGTGTAGCTGGGATTGTATCTCATCCCCGGTGTACCTAGAACAGTAGCTGGCGCAGATAATCTACTGCGCTGTCGGTGGCTTTGTTCGGGCTGGCGTAATCACCCGGGTTTCTCCGAAGTCGTGGAACACAAGGGCGTGGAAACATCAGAATAAATTCCGGAGTTCAGCAAAACCACAGACACCACGCAACCCTCGGTTGCATAAGGAATTCAAGCTTCACCGCACTCACCCTCGCTGAGAATAATCTCATACGGGCTTCCTGTGATTTTTGCGTCCGTGTGCTATAGGTGTGCGCACGAAGAACCAAGGATCGGATGGCATTGAATGGCAGATGTCAGGGAGGATTGATACGTGTAGAGCCAGTGCGTTTCGCCACAAGTTTAGATGAGGCTGAAGATGTCCAGAATGGGTTGCGATGCAGGATAATGTGCTACAGTCGCAGCGAAGACACACGCAGCAGCAGCAACAACAACAACAGTAGCAGATAGTTTGTCACCGCTCATAACGCAATCGGCGAGCACATGGAAGATCGACATCAGCGCATACCTGCAAGAACGGCGGTAGCTTAGTTCGTTCCCCGCAATTTTGCCGCACACATCAATCAGTCAATAGATTCGCCGCCAGGGTAAGCCACGGGGCCCGAGAACTGGGGTGCGGACACTTCGGTGTGTGTGCTTGTGTGTGGGTGTAGAGTGTAAAGTGGTATATACTCTGTCTGGCTCGGGGAAATGAGGGAGAGCACAACGACCGCCCTTTCCCGCCAACGTTGAGGTGCCCCTGGTGGAAAGTTCGCCGAACATTCGTGGTACCGCTGTTGTGATCCGCAGAGCGGCAGCGGTTTCTCCGCCTTCATCCGATGCGCACCACTGAAGGCAAAACTGTAGATTTCCTGAGTGTACCATTGTTTCTCTAGCTTAACCCTCAACACACAGGCTGAGGTTGTTGGTTGTAGGATCGTAGGATTGTGCTTCCCTTTCACATTCCTTGCTGTGCGAACGATAAAGTAGGTGGTAGCCGTGGCGGGTGGAGCGTGAATCGTGACGTTTGGACATCTGACGTCTGGACGTTAATCGCACCGCATTTAATTCCGCCGCATGTGTGAAACGGTTGCTTTTTGCTCTCGGGTCTCAACTCGACGCACGCTCGGTCTGCCGCCGCTTGATCGACACCACTGGACGGGCAGGGCACGATCCATCGACGCAAGCCATCCAGCCGGGGATAGACCAACCACAGCGCCACAGTTTGAAAGGCCCTTTCCCGCGATGGAGGCCACAGCAGCAGACCAACATGACGACGGCATTCCGGTCACGAGCGCCGAGCGCAAAGCAGCGGACGCTCGTGAGTGTGAACTTACCCAACAAACACAACAACAGCAGCAGTGCAAAAGTGAGGGTGATGGCGATGAATTTGGTTCAACGGGTGCACAAGCGGAGTCCAAGGATGATGCCGGTTTGATTCCCCACGGTGCCGAAGACATGGGGGGCAAGACGGCAAACGTCACGGGGCAGCAGGACACGACCGATGGTGGACATGTCGGTGCCGACCTGGGCGACGACCAGGATGGTGAACCAGCACATACTGCCGACCAAACAACTTCTAGTACTACTGAGGGCAAGGACCAAGAGAAAAATGCAGAAAGAGCAACAACCGACGATGTGATGGTCGTCGATCAGATGGGCAGAGGAAAATCTGATGCCCCGCTGTCACCGCAGCAGCAGCAACTGCTGCAACAGCAGCAACAGCAGCACACATCGCCAGCAATGGACGCAAGAGGCGCTAGGGTCGGAAACGCTGGCAATAGTGCAGGTGGTGTCGGTAGAACTGCGCCCAGCCGGGCCCCATCCGTGCCGCCGGCGCCAACCTGGCCTGAGTACTGCGACCCCATGTATCGTATGCCGGAGGAGATCGCGGTTAAGGTGCTCGTCGAAGGGGAGGTGAAGGAGATGTCCATCAAACTCGAGCGGTTCGAGGGGACAAAAGTGTTTCAGGGAGGTTACCGGCATAGGGGCACTGGCAGATTGTTTCACCACGCGTCGACCCAGTTCGGGCAACGAGAGCGCCCTGTGAAGAACACCGATCACCTTCGCACTCGGGACACGCAGACGTGTAAGATCAAAACGACAACCATGCAGACGACAAACGAGTGTGGTACGCAGGTGAACAAATAACTTGCTCAAAATACCATGGTACGGCTGGGCAGGGTACTTCACGAAAAAAAACTTCTCTACGAAATACTTGTTCTTTGTGTTTTATTTTTACTTCGCATAAAAAAACAATATAGGGAGATGTCCTGGAGATGTCCCTATATGCTGTCTGGGAAATCGTAGACATACCGGTAGCTTTTTCTGACGCTATGAATTCATTGCTAATCTGTCTCTGACTATTTTCAATGATAGAGATGGATTTGTTGTGTCATATTAAAAAAAAAAAAAATCCCATGTATCGTATGCATAGAAAATAATGGTCGTCTCATTTGCTTTCGAAACCCCTGCGGAAAATGTAGACTCGTCCATCCGTGGATGTTTTTTGTTCTACTGGATATTCCCATTCTCTACTGGTTCCCGCAAAACATGCAGTGGTCACCGGTAGCAGGTTCAACATTACGTTTTGGTGGCCATCTTGTGCATCTGACTGTACGTCGCGAGAAGGGGAGAGTTACAATGTCTCTTGGGGGCATATTTCGAGCAGTAGTGGAGATAGTCGTACTAGAGCGGTCTGTGCTAGGCGATGGGGTCATGTATACCGGAACGTGGACGTCTAAGGACACGGTCTACCCTCGCTAGAAGGGGACCCAGGTGGTGGCAGAATTCGTCTTCTTGTTGGGGCTGGTAATAGTGTTGTTGATATTGGGCAAGGAGGTCTCGGAAGAGAAAGAGAGAGTGTATCACCGAAGGGAAAGGGCCCCCGCGGGGTAGTCGCATGGCTGCCAACTCCCCCATCTCAGCAGATGACTTCGGAAGAGCCGTATCCATAGCTGGGATTTTTGCTGGTACCGCGGAATGAGCTTAAAGACGCATTTTCACAGCTGCAGTGAACAAGGATATCTTCGGCACAACCCTCTTGGTCAGGTAGCATGCGTTCTCGCCTCGTCGACGAAGATGGTGCACACGGTACAACTGGTACCTCACACGTAGATACGTTGCAGGCAGCCCCCAATGCCCCCAATGATGACAGTGTGTTTCAGCGTTCTCGATGTACTTTTCGCGTTGCGCGAACAAGGCCGTCACATCCTGATCCTACTATCGTGTAGCGTTGCTACTGTACATGTCTACGTTCCTTCTCGGGACTTACTCCCACCCTACCTTGCCACCGATGAAAAACTGAATAACCCTCTTTCGCTCGCCTGTTCTCCTGACCCAATAGATGGCCCGCAAGGACATGCACCTCGACGACGGGTGCGACACCTTCAAGATCGCGGGCGAGTATCGGACTGCCGGCGAGTATTGGAGAGTGCGAGAGCGAAAAACCGTCACAATACAGCGCTTTTGGCGGGGATTCTCTGCGCGCAGGTACAGCCTAGTCTAGCCCGTTTGTGATGCATATGCGTCAACACATCTGCGGATCGACCATGTCGCTCAATCGAGACACATCCAAAAGGTTTTGTTTCAATGCTTTCTTTAGAGCGAAGCAAGGCGTAAATTGGGGGAAATGGTATTTGTATGGCCCCCTCGATTCTGACGCGACGTGTCCGCGCTCGACTGGTCGGCAGCCGTGTCTGGTGTCGGCGGGAAGAAAAGTGGGCCCTTGAGGAGAAGGAGATGGAAGAGGTGGCAGAGGAGGAGGGCAAGAGGACCCAAGAGAAGCAGCGGGAGATGCAGCGGCGCATGAACCCGAGCACCGTCCAAGACTTTGAGGTGGGATACAGGCAGCGGCAGGTTGGCTGTTGGTTGCGGCCGGGGGCATTGGCTCGGTGAGGGAGGGGACACCGGGGATAGGGAGAATATGCTCCGAAGAAGGCATCCGGCTGGGGGTAGATTGTGGTGGACGCGTCGTGGTTGGGATAAGCGACACGGGAGAAGCTGCACCGGTGCATGTCACGCAGACGCTCCATCCCTTAGGTTCTCCACATAAACAATTTGTAGCGTGTGTGAGGAGATCAATGCAAGGAAGCGGTTTCACCTGAGTGTTTGCTCTAGAGATGAAGTGATTTGCCTTCAATCGCCTTTATTGCTCTGCCACTGTGGGCGCCGGACATTAAATCAAGAGTGTCGGCTAGACAAACGGGTGGGGCAAGACAGGGGTATGCTTGCACCGCTCTTGCAACGTTCAGTCTTTCTCTCGACATCACTCTCGAATCAGTGCCACCTTCGCAGCTCTACGTACACGTAGAGAGGTGGATGAAGCAGCACGTTCACGGTCGTACCACATCACATCGCTGCTGGTGGAGCAACCCGGGGCTTATGGCCTGCTTTAACTTTCCGTTCCAGCTTACTGTATACACTCAAGGGAGCTGACACATCGTGCCTTGCCAGTTTCTCTTCACGTTGACCAACCATCGCGGTACGGCCAGCCGTCATTCTCTCGAGCAACAAACGCGGCCAGATCACGCCACAACTCCGTCGAACCCTCTCCGGGTATCGCATCAGGTCCTCTACAACGAGCTCGACCAGTGGAGGGAGGCGGAGACCAAGAGCATCAAGCAAGCGGAGGTCGGGGAGCGGCGGAAGCTGGCGCTGCGGGAGCTCTTGCACAAGGAGACGAGGCTGCTGCAGACCATCGACCGCCTCAAGATCACGGCGGCGCACGAGGGCAAGGTGCGCATTCGGTACATCAGTACGTGGTCAAAAGAAGGTCTCCAGGCGGATAATGGAGCGTGCACTCGCTACGCTCGCGCACGTTCTATTGCAGCAACCCCCGTCTGTCCTCTAGCCTGACCTACATATGCGCGGATGAAGGTATCTACCTCCGCCGACCACCAATACTGAACGACAACGGTATTCCTTGACGAGTTCGTCGAGCCGGCTACGGCATGCGTCCGTTTCCGCTTTTGGGTCGTTCTTCAAAAAAATCTGATCCGCGTACCCCCGCCCAATCACGCACCCCTGCACACTCGTTCAAACCCACACGCAGCGCACAAGACGTTCCCATTGAATCAAATCCAAGGCTGCTTCATATCAGCCCCCCACCAGCCCCGTCCCCGGGCCCTTACCTCACGTACCGCATACTTCCAACTCGACCCACTAACTATCCTCGGCAGGAACGCCGTACGAGGCGCATGCTGGAGCTCATGTCGGCCTCGAAACAGTGGGAGATGGGTGACGGCGAGGTGTCAGAGATCCACACGCCTTGGACGAACCGAGCACGAGACCTTCAGGTAATTTCTGTGGTTGTGTTGCACCCAAACACATGTCGAGACATTGATCGCGTCAACCGTAAGGTGAAATAATCCTGAAAGGGCTTGTGGTTGCGGTGACTACTGGATGGCGTCCCAACATTGGCGTGCCTGTCCAGATAGGAGATGCACCTTGTTGAAAGGGTTGGATCAAACGAAATATGCAGAGAAAACAAGGGAGACACCAGCGGATCACGTGAGTACGACCTGACCCTAACCTTTACTTTGCTAGTACTTTGTTGCCGACAAGAGAGCCACTTATTCACAACACTCAGTACGCCGCCTGTGGCACGCAAGATTCAACGACAAAAAAAAATGCCATTTACTGTAACAGCGTGTCTAATCATTTCACCGTCTGCTTTCGTAGCCTAACGTCGTTTCGCGTCGTGCCGCCCGACCGCTGCCCGATCGATCGACTCAAGGACATGTACGAAGCCCTCGAGGCCCCACTCCTGAGCGTCGAAGAGCGCCTAGACGTCCTCTTGCACCTAAAGTGGACCGTCAGCGAGTTCGACTGCCGGCTGACCCGGGACATCGCGGAGCTGGTCGACAGGGAGGCGGACCTGTTGAGCCGGGGGCGGGGGGAGGCCAGCCTGCGGCCGCTCCGGCAGCGCATCCGCAACCTGTTCTTGCGGTTCGCGGAGACCCCGGACTTCAACCCGGAGGCCTCGCGGTTCATTCGAGTGCCGCCCAAGTACGGGAAGCTTACGGACGAGGGGATGGTGGGCTTGACAGGGGTGGTCTCATGCAAGTGAAGGGCGAGGATTGAAAACGATGCAAGTACTCGTTGTGTGTGCTCTTTTCCTCCTCGTTTAGAGAGCTCTGCGTGAAGTGTGCATGGGCATGAAGTTGAAAATAGAGTTGCTAATACAGCATTGTTGAAAGCAAGCCGACGAATATCGTCGGCGTTGCTAGTCCCAAGCTTTTTATTTTTATTTTAGTCGCGTGTTGCGCGTGTGCTGACACCACGAACGGGAAGGACCTTAATTAGCCGACACACTACGCAATAATGGTCGTGATGGACGCGGGTACGCAATAAAAAGCAACACATACATCCGATCCTCGGGAAACACGAAATGCAACGTCTACATACACACTGTCTTCCCTTGTACACACGGTAGGCACTCTGTCTGTCCCTTTAACACGGTACGTACTGCTTTTGCCTACCACTCTCGTCCTCTCGTCCGCATCAACAACAAACAATGCAACTTGCCGCACAACAAGAGCCATCCCTGCAGGAAAAGCTGTACAAACAAGCAAAAAGCAGCTCCTGCTGCTGTAAGCTGCTGCTGTATGTACCATTTTTCAGCACGCACGAACAACAGATACAGCACAGGCGAAGGAGCTCAGTCTGCCTGTCTGTGTCTGCGTCGGCGTGAGTAGGGGTGGGTGTGAGGTATCGATAGAGTAACGACAGGATGTTTTTTTATTTTTATTCTTCTTAATATGACACAACGAATCCATCTCCATCATAGAAAAGAGTCTGAGACAGATTAGCAATGAATTCATTGTGTATGGCATCTCGACGAGTATCGTCGCGTTGCCTGTCTGAAGCTTTCGATTTTTGCAGCGGGCAACAATCAAGGTAGACACCAAGAAGACGCCCGATGAGCACACAGGAACCGGGGGACCCCAAAAAACAAAGCATGAAAAACAAAAGAAAGAAAGAAGCGAGAACAAACGAGCCAGACGCGACAGGCTTCAGGGAGGAGGCAAAAGAGCGCATAGAAGAAAAGCACCGTCGCCGCTCGCTCCGGACCGCTGGAAACTCTCACATAGCACTACATATGGAGCAAATATTAGGTAGGGCCCAAGTCCATTGCTTGGCATAACGCCCATCGCTTCACATGCAGCAGCCGGATGCACGGGTAGCCTTTTACTAAGCAAAAAGTGAAACGACTGCGGTTGGTTGACGTTCGATGTTGTTGGGACCCTACCGGCGAAAGGCGAGAGAGAGAGAAAGAGAGGTAGACAAAAAGAAGAGAGCGGAGAGAAGACAAGGCATTGACTCTCTCGAGAAGAGAAGGCATTGACTCTCTCGAGAAGACACTCACTCTCGTCCCTCTGGCCCACCGCAGGCTGTCACACATGATGTCACGTTGTGTATCGAACGGCGATATCCGATGTCGGCTCAGCAACAGCAAACAAGCACAACAACAAACAAATATAGTCAGTCGCCGTGTGCGAGCTGTGGACTATCTTGTTGTAGGAAGTGAGAACTAAAAAGAGCACGATAGCACCACGGACGAACTATTATCGCAATACGCTTGCCGTCCGCCATAGATGCGCACCGCTGCACGAACGAGCTGTTGGTTATCATACCTCACTACGTAGTATCTAAGATTGTGCTGCCATCTACCTTACTTATCGCTCAAATTACGACTACGCAGCAGACTCAAGGCAAGGAAGCAACACGCGTGCCGATGCATACCACCCATGCATGCAGCAAAACAAAAAAAGGCGGACCGTCTGTTGTTGTTTGTCTCTTGAACTAACTGTGCTGCCGACAACGACACTGGAAAAAAGTAGGAGACGCGCATCGCCTACGCGAGCAACGCGTGCAGCCCAAAGCAACAGAGACGATAACCTTACGACCTTTCTTTTCAGCACATTCCGAGCATATACTGCAGCAACCGCAAGTACGTATGTGTACAGCAGCAGCCGCATGTTGTGTACAACAACGGTCACTCAGGAAGAAAATCACAATAACAAACGCAAAAAAAAAAAGGTGGTGGCACGCAGCACGCAGGACCCTCTTTCGCTGTTCATCAACCGGCCATTCCCATGGCGAAACAGACAAGGTACAGCAGTGAAGGCCGACTCTTGCCGGCCCCAGGAGGCGGAAGCTGCTCAAACTCGGGGACGGGTCATGATTTGCGATTGATTCCTCACCGAACGGATATCGAACCTTCACACTACTGTTTCAATTAGCTTCAGAAAAGCTTCAAAATTAATTGTGAAACTTGCAGAGTCATAGACATGGCAAGTAAACACCCCGTTCCAAAGAATATCTGTCGTTGATTTTTATTGACTTGCGGACCTTTCGTGGCCAGTTTGTTTTAGCGTGCCTCTTTATGGCAAGTTAGCCTGTGACCACGGGAATCGACCGCGTCAAGTGTTGGATCAGTAAGGACAAATGAAGGTACTGGGTAGAGAGAGATCGGAACGGTTTTTAATGCGAAGACAACAACAACAACAACAACATTTAAAACTGAACTAATGGGTGGTGGGCGGATGACCGGTGGACCCCAAAAAGCAAGCTGAAAAATAAAATATAGACTATGTTAAGAAAAAAAAGAAAAAAACGAAGGGACGACAAAGACAAGTGAGCCAGACGCGACAGGCTTCAGGGAGGTGGCAAAAAAGAGCATACGAAAACCACCGTCGCCACTCTGAACCGCTGGAAGCTGTCACATAGCACAGCATGCAGCAAACAGTATAGGGGCCATCATGCCCCCGTTGCTTCAAGTAAAGAGGCAGCGCCCATCGCCTCACATACAGCAGCCGGGTACGTACTACACAAATAGCCTCGTACTCAGAAAGAAGCAAAACGATTGCGGTTGGTTGACGTTCGATGTTGTTGGGACCCCAACGGCGATAATAGGCGAGAGAGAGACAGGTGCTACTACTACTACGTACACCAACAGAAGAAAACGTAGAGAAGGCATTAATTAACTCTCGAGACCCTAACCCTAACCCTAACCCTAACCTTAACCGAAGACACTCACTCTCGTCCCTGTGGCCCACCGCAGGCTGTAACGAACGGCGACATCCGATGTGCGCTCAGCAACAACAAACAAACGCAACAAACCAAATAAATATATAAAGTCGCCGTTTCCGAACTAACTGTGGAGACTCTCTTTCATCACTTACTTACTTGTGGTATGAAGTAGGAAGTGACAACGAAATAGAAAATGATGACGAGAAGCACCACGGACGAACTATTTTCTCAATGCATACGCTTGCCGTCGCGATAGACGCGCACCGTTCCACGAACGACCAGTTGTCAAACCTCACTACGCAAATAAGATTGTCCTGCCATCTACCCCTTATCGCTCAAATTACGACTACGCAGCACACTAAAGGTAAGTAAGGCAGCAACACGCTTACGATGCTTTACCACCCATCCATGCATGTAAGGGAAGAAAAAAAAACTATGGCGGACCGTCTGTTGTCTGTATCTTCAACCGTGCTGCCGTTGCTTTTCTTCATGGATATCGGCACAGAGGAAAAATGAGGAATGCGCATCTCCTACGCGAGCACGGCGTGCATCCAAATCGACAGAGACGATAACCTTATTATGACCTTTGCAGCATCTTCCGAGCATAACAGCAGCCACCGCATGTGTACAACGGTCACTATAGTCGTAAAATCACTGGTTATCGCCCCTCCGCGAGCGATAGCTGCTCAAACGACTGTGACAGGTCTTGAAATCGTCTCAGCTACCCAGAACTGCTGGCAGTTGCCGGAGATTTGCAGGTACGTACTGCTTTTTTTGCCTACCACTCTCGTCCTCTCGTCCGCACATCAACAACAACAAACAATAAATGCTAGTTTTCGCACCACAAAAGAGCCATGCAGAAAGCTGCAACAACAGAACAAAAGCAGCTCCGCTGTATGTACACAGAATGTCCAGCTGTGTGCTGAGGTCGGTCAGCATCTCGAGAGAAGCGTGGCCAGCAAGCAAGACTTGGCGCGGGACACGAGAGAAGCAAGCAAGGCTTGGCGCGGGCGGCGAAAAAAAGAAGACGACTCTATATAAAAAGATCTGTTTAAAAAGAAGGCTTGGCGCGGGCGGCGAAAGAAATGAAGACGACTCTTATACAAAAAGATCTATAAAAAGAGGACCCTCAACGACAAGTCAACCAATCAATCTGGTCGTTCCGATGTGACGATGTAACGCAGATCTTCTTGTCGACGGAGAAACTGGTTTTCGCCCCACAGCAAGCGATAGCTGCTCAAACGACTGTGAAAGGTCTTGAAATCGTCTTAGCTACCCAGAACTGCTGGTAGTTCTCGGAGGTTCGCAGTGTGGGCTGAGATCGGCCTTTTCGACCCGGTCGGGCAAGGGGTCCGCTATGCTACTGAAAACTCCACAGACGGAAAAAAAAGACTTTTGATCGACTGAGACCCAAGCTAGAGCTTGGGAATGTGTGAAGAATCCGGGCTTCTAACGGAGGATGAGAGGGAGTGTAGAGGGAGAGGAAGTGACCGATGTGGGGGCGAGCGCGGAGTTCGCCCAGGGGGCCACGCGGCTAGGCAAACGATCCGTGACGAAAAGATCTGTGACCCATATTGCATGTGCCTTCGAACGCCGTTCCTCCTCACCGCGCACAACCCCTATAGTCTGTTCCACTCGTCCCTTATACACACGGTAGGCACACCGTTCCTCCTCACCGCGCACAACCCCTATACTCTGTTCCACTATGTCTGCCCCTTGTACACACGGTAGGCACTCTGTCTGTCTCCCTTTAACACGGTACGTACTGCTTTCGCCTACCACACTCTATCTAGTCCTCTCGTCCGCATCATTAACAACAAACAATCAATGCAACTTGCCGCACAACAAGAGCCATCCCTGCCTACCACTCTCGTCCTCTCGTCCGCACATCAACAACAACAATAAAACGGGCAAGGGGTCCGCCTCTTATACAAAAATATCTATAAAAAGAGGACCCTCACGAAAAGCTGTACAAACAAGCAAAAAGCAGCTGCTGCTGCTGTAAGCTGCTGCTGCTGCCGTATGCACCATTTTTCAGCACGCACGAACAAGAGTTGAGTCTGCCTGTCTGTGCCTGCGTCGGCGTGAGTAGGGGTGGGTGTGAGGTATCGATAGAGTAACGATGGTTTTTTTTTTTGTTTTGGACACTACGAAACCATCTCCATCATCTGATCTCCATCATAGAAAAGAGTCTGAGACAGAATTAGCAATGGATTAATCATAGCGTCACCTGTATTTTCAATGTGGTACGCGTATGCGAAAAAAAAGAAGACGACTCTATAAAAGGAGGACCCCGAACTAATAATAATCTGGTCGTTCCAATGAGATCCTTTTGTCGAAACTGGTTTTCGCCCCACAGCGAGAGATAAGCTGCTCAAACGACTGTGAGAGGTCTTGAAATCGTCTCAGCTACCCAGAACTGCTGGTAGTTCTCGGAGGTTTGCAGTGTGGGCTGAGATCGGCAGTCCTCTGTCTCGTCCGCACATCAACAACAACAATAAAACGGGCAAGGGGTCCGCCTCTTATACAAAAGTATCTATAAAAAGAGGACCCTCAACGACAAGTGAACCAATCTGGTCGTTCCGAAGTGACGATCTGGTCGTTCCGATGTGACGATGTAACGCAGATCTTCTTGTCGACGGAGGCACTGGTTATCGACCCACAGCAAACGATAGCTGCTCAAACGACTGTGAGAGGTCTTGAAATCGTCTCAGCTACCCAGAACTGCTGGTAGTTCTCGGAGGTTCGCAGTGTGGGCTGAGATCGGCATTTTCGACCCGGTCGGGCAAGGGGTCCGCTATGCTACTGAAAACTCCACAGACGGAAAAAAAAGACTTTTGATCGACTGAGACCCAAGCTAGAGCTTGGGAATGAGTTTACTGCTTTGAGGTTGTTGTCCCGTTTTTCGTGAGTGTCTGACAGTGATGTATGGTATCTGTCAAATGGAGTATTTCATTGTAGGCTGCCGTACGCATGTGTACTCGTTGGGGTTCTCGCTACATGAGACGTTCACCGAGAAGCTCAGGCCGCCATAGACATTTGGAGTACACTGCCTCTCCTGGCCGACAAAATTCCACCCAAGAATATCGGACGGGCAAAACTGCCTCGGAGCGCGGCGCATGTGCCCGGAGGGCCATTGGGAAGAATGCTAGTAAATAGGGGTTCGGTGTTTTACAGTAGTAAGGGCGCATGAATTCGTCGGCGTGGTACTACCCTGTACGTGAAGTGTGGAGTTCCTGACCTTAAGGCTCCTTCGTTGTCAAGCATTTTGTGCCCGCCGTCGTGGAACAACCGCCATCTGCAATACTGCTGCAGATTTCGCGAATGCTTCGCTGGAAATTTCTCTTCCGCTTAACACCAGCGTGGCGGTGAAAATGAAAGGAAGAGCCAAAGGGTAAGGTACGGAAGGGCACGCACGAAAGCAGCAGCGGCAGCGCCGACATTCACTTCCATAGCACACGCTCTCAACCACACAAGGGGGGACTTGGAGAGGACCGACTCCACTAGCGCTCGCGATGACCTCAGCTGTCGAACGGAAGAATTCACACACATAACTCCATCGTTGCCCACCCACCAAGCACGGCTAGACCGCACGCGTGGTCACTTTTGCTCGTCATGGGGGCTCGCATGCGATGATCACAACGAGCAAAAATCCTCACCGCTGGTACGGAAGGTGTGTTTGGTCAGGCCGACCTAGCCGGCTGTACCTTGGGGTTTAAACCGAATCAAAGTCTAGAATGTGCTGAAAGGAGTGTGCATCTATAATCGAAATATGACACAGGGCTGGCTCACTTGTGGCGTGGGAGCGTGGAGAATACGCCCAAGGCAGTTTCGTCCCTGCCTCGAAGAGCGCCGTAGCAACGAAGACGTGCAGGGTATCGGCCATGATTACTTATATGACGATATCAACAACATGCTAAACCCCAACAAACACGTCTAGAACAACACTCAGCCCAAATAGCCCAGCCACGCCAAACCACAAAGAGCACCGATGCCATTCCGAACAAAACCGGGTAGCCCCGCAACTCGACCTTCCGCTCGTATTCTAGCTACACGCGCAGAGCACATATTCTTAGGTCCACATTTTGTTAGGTCCAGCTGGGTGTAGAACGCTCCACACCCGCTGAACCAGGATACAGCGCCAAACCCTGCTCTCCTCCCCCTTCACAAAAGGACGACACACACGCCCCGTTCAAAAGATGGTAGACGTTGGTTTAGTCCCTTTGGCGCCGAAACAAAACAGATATCCCAAAACCATGCCCGGTGTACTCCAATGAATCCCGATGACCGAGAGCCCGCTCGCCCGCGGATCACCACAAAAAATCGCTAAATCCTGCCATCAGCAGAGGCCTCCTTGAGGCTCCTGATCACCCGCCGCGGCACCACCCCGCACGACACGTACGCGTTACCCGCCGCCCCACCCGGAGCGGCCTCTATCTCCCTCGCGCACTCGAGACACCACTGCCAGATCGACCCTTCTTCGTAGCTTGCCTCCTCCTCCTCCTCTCCTCCCCTCCCGCCACCGATCAACCCCCTACCAGGGGTCGCGCTCAACGACCCCAGGGCCTCGTCCACCGCCCGGGCCATCCCTTCCCAGACGGACGGCGACGACCCCCGCGCACCGATGCCTCGCGCGTCGCCCTCCTCTCCCGACCACCGCTGCGGCCTCCGGCCGGCCAGGCCGGCCGCCGGCGCCAGGCCGTTCCCGGGCGTGGCCGCGCGGGCCACGGTCATCACGACGAGGGTGGCGTGCGCGGCGAGCAACCGCCAGCGAGCCCCGCCCCCGGCGCGCCGGGCGGCACCGGCGGCGCCCGCCACCTCGGCGAGCGACGCCAGGCACTGCCCCATGCCCGGGTGCCCGAGGACGGCGTGGCTCGGCGCCCCCCGCGGCTGGTGGCTCCCGGCGCCTCGTCTCCGCGCCGCGCCGCCGCCGCCGCCGCTGGCCGCCGCCGGCCGATCCTCCGGCCACGCCAGGTGGCCCGCAGAGGTAAGGATGTTCGTCAGCAGGCCGCACGCGCTCACGAGCGGCGACCGCACCGCCTCCGATACTTGCTCCGGCGGCGAAGTCGGCAGACCGCCGCCACCGCTGCCGCTGGTCCTGCCGAGCAGCAGCAGCGCGGCGATCGCGGGCGGCCCCGAGGCGGCAAGGCGGGCGAGGCGGGCCGCCACGCCCTCTTCCACCATGGCCGCTAGAGGGGTCGGCTCGTACGAGAGCGCCAGCATCGCGCGCAGGATGTTGTGGAGGGCCTCGTCCGGCCGCGTAGCGGACGACGCCGACGCGGCGTGGCCCGCCCGAGCGCCGCCGGCCAGGTATCGGGCGGCTCCCGGGAAGGCCGCCAGCGTTGGCGTCACGGTTGCCGATGCGTCGTCGTCGTTGTCATCGTCGTCGCTCTCCTCATCGTCCGAATCAGGGGCCTTCCCGAGCATCGGGCGAATTTTCAAAAGGTGGGTCGAAGGCGTATTAGCCAAAAGGGACAGGGGGGAGGCGCTGTCAGAAACGCGGTTACCCGCGGGACAACGAGTCAACACATACACGAGCGCACGAGAAACAACCATCATCATTGCTGACAACCTTTCTCTTCTTCAGCCCCCGTGCGCTCTCGGTGAGGCGGTACACCAGCCAACCGCATGCCCCCAGCGAACCCCACTCCATTAACATATGAATAGCCCTTACAACGCGCGCGCCCGTAGTGGGCTCTCATCATAGCATAGTCGTAGTGTCATCAAAGCGTGATGCAAGATGAAAGTAAGACATCGTTGGTGTGATCCAGCTGACGTTTTCCCGAGCTCGAACAGCTTACAAAGCTGACGCTTTCTTGACTCCAACAGCTCCTGACTCCAACAACTCTTGACTCCAACAACTCTTGACTCCAACAGCTCTTGACTCCAACAACTCTTGACTCCAACAGTTCTTGACTCCAACAACTCTTGACTCCAACAGCCCAGCGAACCTCAAAGAATCAAAACGACAAATACACAAAGCTGTAGACAGTATTACCTCCTCGCCGGCCTTGAGCGCCAGCAGCACCGGCAACGCCTCCAGGAACCTCTGCGGCAGCGACTCCGGGTCCTCCGCCACCCACACGCCGAGGACCCGCGAGCACTCCAGCCCGAGCCTGTGCAGAGCCCACAGGTCGACGATGGACGGCCCCGCCGAGGCTGAGCCGCCGTCGGCGTCGCCGCCGGTCGAATGAGACACGGCGAGGACCCAGCGTCGGATCTCCGACAAGAAGTCCAGCACGCAACCGAAGAGGCCCACCAGAGTCTTGGGGTGCAGAGCGGGGTTTGCGTACGAAACAGCAGAGTATGGGGACGGAGGGGGCATCTGGATCAAAGAAAGTAATTCGTGCGGGAGAGCAGGCTATGCGAAGTGAGGGCAGATGGTGCGTGAGCAACAACGTTACGGCTCACAAGCGAACGCTACCGCTTCCGGAGGGCGACCTTTGATGAAGCTCACCTTCTGCAGGTCTTGCAGCGTGTCGATGGGTAGCTCCTCCCAGCGATTCTTGCTGCTTTTTCCGCCTCCCTCCTTCCCCTCCTCCTCCCCACCCCCCCCTCCACAAAGAAAAGCAATGGTCGATTCGGCGACCCCGAGACCGACGGGAACCATGCGCAGCAGTCTTGCCGCACGCTGCTCCTTAATTGCCTTGAGCTGCGACGCGGGAAGGGGAGATCGCGGTGCTGGTGACAGCCGCTGTCCTTCCCCCTGCTTTCCACCCGCTCCGGCAGCAGCAGCTTTCGCAGCGGTTATCTCGGCCGCGATTCCTATCGAAGGGTCTGCCCCCGCCGGACCCATGGCGCCTCTCGCTTTCTGTCCGGTACCGGGGCCGGCCTCCTCGTCTCCATCCGACGCCCTCGCCCCCCCTCTCGCCGCTGCCGGTACGAACAGGGACAGCGCCTCGTCCAGCAGGATGCGAACCTCGCCCGCGGCGCACCTGACGGCGAACGCTACGAACGTCCCTCGTTTTCTCTTCGCTACTCTGTTCTTCTTCATCTTCTTCTTCTTAACCCCGTTGCTGCTTCTTTGTTGCTCATCCGCACCGGCTTTCCCCCCACCATCGTCGTCGTTGTCGGCTTCCTCTACATCCTCCTCCACAGCCCACTCCTGTCCCACGGCGCGCAGCAGCGACGCGAGCAGCGCGAGAGCCGAGTCCCGGCGGTCGTCCTCCGCCGCTCCGTGGAGCGCCTGCAGCAGCCCTTCCCGAAGGGCGGCGGGGAACGGCCCATCCCGAGTCCACGCCCCGACCCCGCCGTCGCCCCCTGCTGGAAAAGGCGCCGACTCTTCGTCTTCTCGCAGAGACGCCCACCGCAGCAAGAGGTCCAAGAAGCCGAACTTGGCTGGGGTCGGGTCGTCTCGAAACGCCTCCGCGACGGCCGTGAGCTCGCGGGAGCCCAGGCAGCCGCCGCCTGAGGCCTCGAGCGCGCGCCCCACGAAGGCGAGCGCTAGGCCCTCCGACCTCTCCGCCGCCGCCGCCGGGGTGTCCCCGTCCGCTGGACCCCCTCGTCCATCGTCCTTTGGGTCGCCGCCGCCGCCGCCGCCGCCGCCCCCGCCTCCGAGCCCCGCCGCCGACGACGAACGAGATCCCGCCGACGGCGTCGCGTCGGCGGCGGCTTGCCTATCTTCTCCCGGTGGTGGGGGCGGTGGCCCTCCCGCTTTGCTTTCTTCCACGCCGGCGCCACTACCACCGCTTTGGTCGCCACCGGGATCCTTCTCCTCGTTCGGCCTTGCCGCCCGTTCTCCGCTTGCAACCGAGAGGCGGCTCGCGACGGCCGGCGCAGCGCCGGCCCTCAGCAGCCGCTCCATGCCGACGGGCACGCCGGCGATGGCCTGGGTGCAGTAGAGAGCGTCGCAGAGCCCCTGCGTCTGCGTCGCCGCGTCGGCTGCGCGGAGAGCGCGCACGAGGGCCGGGGCGATGGGAACAAACTTCGGGACCTGTTTTTTTTTTATCGTCGGCGGGGGCGGAGGAGGCACACGGGGCGGTGGCGAGTGCAGGCGGCGGTTACGAGACGAAAGTTTTGAAATTTGAAATTTTGAATTCTTGAAAATCCACAACAAGGGTGGTGGTGCGAAGGCGGCGTTTTAATCATCAAGGCGTCAGCATGATGTCCTTGTTGTAACGCCAGGTTTTAGTAGGACAGCGTGAATTCGCCCACCCTGTTTTGCTAATGCTATCCTCTCCTTCTTCATTGCCGAAGACTGCCGCTGTACCACGACATGCCACACTCGCGGCTGTAGTCTACCTGTGTACAAGAGGAGCACAGCAGTGGGCTTTCGGTTGCAGCGGCCGCAAGAGGGCTACAGACAAAAAACTCAGCGCTGGAGCATCGACTCACCAGGCTCTCGTCCTGGAAGAGGGCCGCCAGCACGCCGAGCGCGATCTGCTGGTACACCGAAAGCCCACCGACAGCAGCTCCACCACGATCGCCACCGCTGCCGCCGCCGCTGCTCTTATCTCCTGGGGTCCTCAGCAATCGGTGCAGAAAGGCCGGGCCGACAGCGTTGCAAATCTGTCGGAGTTCGCCGCCACCGGCGGAAGCGGAAGGAGAACCGCTGCTGACAGTTCGTACGCTCTCAGACGCAGTGAGAGCCGGGACGTGCTTGGTCACCATCACTAGCCCCGCGAACTTGTGCTCATCGGACTGGCCCTTCAGGAGCTTGAGGCACTGGGCGAGGACTGCCGACGCGGACGGCTTGTTGTTGTTGGCCTGATCTTGTGGTGGTGCTGCTGCTGCTGGCGGCGGCGGCGTCGAGGCTGCTGCTGGATGAAGAGGCGGGGAACCATCATGGCTGCTGCTGGTTTGATTCTCTTCCACCTGGACCATGCTTGCTGTGCCGTGTCTTTTGTGCTGCGGGTGTCGCTGCAGATCCGCACATCTCTCCGCCAGGGGCTCCGCTGTCCAGATAACTAGCTGTAGGTAGCGTATGCCCAATTTCCCCATCGCGATCCCCCTCTGCCATCGCCGAGCGCCGGTCTACAGATCAGCAGAGATAGGTCCTTTCCGCCTTGTATCACAGGGGTTACAGCTCTCACATCGAAGGCGAGAGGTTTTGCAACGAGGTTGCTGACGACCCCACGTCCGTTGCCGAGAGACGAAAGGAAAAGAAGGACCAGAGCAAAATGTCTCTGGAGGAGAAATCGGCAGGTGGCGCCGCTTCTGTTGAGGCGGACGATGGCGGTGGGGGCGAGGAGAGCAGCGCCATTGCCGCGGGCATTCGGAGGGACGTCAAGCCGTGGCTGAACCTGGTGGACGACCTGTCTAACCTCACGAGAGATGCCGAAATCAGCGTCCCGCAGGTGATGATCATCGATTTTTTTTTTACGTGTTTTGGATTGTTCCGCGTTTTGGCACGTGATGATGCATGCCCAGAGAGAAGCGTGATTCGAATACAACAGTGTGGTACTGTAGAGGTCGAGGAGGAACGGTTTGCCGAGAGGGGGAGGAGGCAGCAGAGAGAGAGAGAGGGAAGTGAGATTTGGGATGCGGTCGACAGCATTGACACATCCGGGTGTGACTATTTTAAACGGCTGGTTGTTTTTGAGGGCGCTTCCACTGCAACAGCAGAGCAGCTAACGTCCCGTAGAATCTCCAAGAATTACGTGGAAGAATCCGCAGCAGCAGCGAGACCCTATCCTTCAACAGCACACAATCCACCTGAGGATGAGGCACACGTGCGCTGTAGATAGGCACGTTGGGCTATCTGTTGTAAGTTTTGTGTGTCGCAGAGAGAGAGAGCGACAGAAAGAGAGGGCGAGTAGGAAAGCTCAGTGAATGGATTGATTTTCGTGACCACATCTGTCGGGGAATCTACGTTGTATGCAGACAGATGCAGCAGTACGTGCAGCCGAGCCATGTCTTGCTGTCTAGGCGTTCTGGTGCCTCAAGAACGGCCATACTTTGACTCACGTCCGTTGCGCGCTTTAGCATCAGTCAAAACGAACCCGCAGGGAATTACCCTATCAATGTCGACGGGGGAAAGCAATGATTGGTCGCTGCGGCGAGACCCTTTTTTGTGTTTGCACGCACAGCAACGGTTCTTGTCTGTGTATCCCCCACACTGAAATGCATTCAGAAAGCCCCATGTCACCGAGGTCTAGTCTCAGGTGTCCACAACGCGTCGGACCGCAGGAACACAATATAGAAAAAATATGCGAGAGGGCCAATGACGTGATTTCCTTCTTGAGTAAGCGCCACGCCTGAAGGATATATCTGTAGCCCGTTGCTCGCAGGTCGTTGACTCAAGCTCATGATGATATGCCGACTTGGGAGATAATTTCTCACAGTGCGATGGTATGCTCACGCGTTTGTGTTCGCCCCAAGGGAAGATTCGGAAGAAATACTCCCGGAGAGATGGCATGTAGACTTGTCCTGTGCCCTCATCATAATCTCTACTAGTGTTCAAGTGTGCAGTACGATCGGGTGATTGTGTGTGCTTGGGATCTGTGTGAGTTGGCTTGGGAAAGCGTTTATCAAGAGAAAAAGCACAACGGAAAGCAACAACAACCTGCACCTGTGGTCGGACAAGAGAGTTCCACACAGCCTTAGGTGATTGATTCTGAAGGGAAGGGGTCAAATCTCACTACAGCAGTAGAATCCGCGAGGCGATAAAATGGCGAAGTGGAACACCACCCATCAACCTCCGACGCCGGTGTCGTGATTCACCCCCACCCCCACCCCCTCTCTCGGCTCGACCGCACCTCCCCTTGTCCTCCTTGATACAGCCCTTACCCCACCGCTCTTTTGTGCCCTACATGTACCGTTGTTCTCCTGGCCAAGGCACGGAATTACGGTCACCTGCAGACTATGCACCGTGAGATCGAGCATACAGAGTCGGGGATCCGATTCTACCGAAACCAATATATCCCTATACCTGACCCCCCCCTCCCCTCGCCCCAACCAAACATCGACCAATAATAAAGATTTGCGTGATGGGGGACCAGAGCAGCGGGAAGTCGAGCGTGCTCGAGGCGCTCGCCGGGGTGCCGTTCCCGCGGGGGTCTGGCCTCGTCACCCGTTGCCCCATCCGCCTCAGCATGAAGCGCTCGGCGACCGGGTCCCGGTGGAGCGCCGTGGCGCACGCCTCCAACGAGCCTTCCAAGTCGCACTCGGCGTCTACCCCTGGTCAGCTCACCAAGGTGTGTAGGGAGTTTCGTGTGGTGCCAGGGGAGGGGGGGAGGGGGGAGGGAGTGACGAGAAGGGCATTTTTTGGTTTGTGTGCATGCTTTTTTGCTCCGTTGCATGCTTGGTTGGCGTTTTCCAACAAGCCCATGGCTTTCGGCCGCTGCAGCACTGATGTGTTCGTCAGGGGCGGGTTCCGTACAGGTCGAAGTCTTTGGGGGAGGTGGACGGAGCAGGAGGTGTGCGTTGCTGGATTTGTTTTGTTGCTTGCTCTCACTTGTCTGTGTAGGTGTGCTGTGCAGCCAAGGGGGGGTATCCCGCCGCCTCTTCGTCCTAGTACAGATAACGTGGCCCGTTCGGTACCGATGACGTGTGCATCAGGCTGGTGCTATTCTTCCGTGATAGTTTCCCTTCGCGACAAGCGTGTTCCTCTCGCGTTACAGCCGTTGTAGCGTTTTTTTTTCTCAGCATATCTACGTGTAGCGCAAGCGGCGCTACCCCGCTGAGGGGCCGTGCTTTTCCTTGGTCTCGGGCTCAATCGATGAAGTAGTTGCGCGGTACTGCTATCATCATTTTTTTACCCACGACCTTCACCCGACCTTCATCGCCGAACGGTTATTTTTTGCCGTGTGAAGATGTTTGTTCCTCGTCGTGTTGTTGATGTTGTTGGTATATGTTGGTAGGTAGGTTATCCCTTGTATTGTTGTTGTTGTGCGGTTCGTATGTAACCCCGAGGGACTGCGAGTAAATGTACTCTCCACTTCTCTTTTTGCTGATGTGCTGCGCTGTTCCAACGCAAAATTGAACAAACATATACCAACATGCCCGTCGACGGTTTGTGAATCGAAAACACAAAAAAACAGCTGCTGGAGCGGTTGACGGACGGGCTCACGTCGACCTCCAGCAACTTCTCCACCGAGACGATCAACGTACGCCTGTCCTCCCCGGACGTGCCCGACCTCACCGTGGTGGACCTGCCGGGAATCATCCGGACGTCCACGGCCGGCCAAGACCCGGCGGTCATCGCGCAGGTTTGGCATTGTTGCATGTGTGCGTAGTCGCGCAAGCGCGGTGTATCCGCGCGTGGCGGCCACCGAGGTATGCTTGCAAGAGTTACACCTATGTGTGTGTGTACCTGATTTAGCGTCGGACGCGCGTAACCTCCTATGCCGGCCGACCGAAGCAAGGGCATCATCTGCGTGCGTGTGTGTGTCTGTGTGCTTGACGGCGTGCTTGCGGTGTGTGCATGTGCGCGCTTTGTTGGGGTTTTTTTTGGTGGGCGTGATCTGCCGAGCTTGGCGACCGGCCGGCGAGCGACTGTCAGGTCTGTGTTGGAGAGAGCAAAAAATATCGCGCAAGCGAGTGGTATAGTCCTCGTGGTCTCCCCAACAGGGGGCACGTGGAAGGGAACAAGCATGGGTACTTTTGCGTTGTGCTTGTGGACGCGTGTTTGCGCGTAGCATCGCTGCTTGGCGGTGGGACAGCTATTTATTGTCCAGGACAGGGGCGTCCCGCGCTCTTGCATGGTCCTACCGCGAAAAGTGGCCGCATCTCTGTGGAGCTTCTCTCGTCTGGTCGGGCGAAAAAACATCAGTACTACACCACGGGCCCATTGGAAAGAAGCACGTTTTTGCGCCGTCTGTTATCGTGTGTTCCAAACAGGTTGCACGTGCCAGGGGCATCGAGCGATAGTTTTTTCCAGCGCTCTTCCCGTGGGATTACAACCGTCCTGCTTTGGGCTCGTGAAGTACTTTGTTATCTCCTCTTCCCGCGCCCGTGTTGTGGCCCCCGGCCGGCACCCCATTTTCCACGCCAGTCCGCATTCATGCATTAGTTTTCTTTCTTTTTGTGTTTTTTGTTGTTTTTTCAATGTTTGAAGGTGAACAACCTGATCGAGTCGTTCCTGGAGCAAGCCCGAACCATCATCCTCTGCGTCATCCCTGCGAACCAGGTCAGTCGAAGAGTTTGTTCAGGGGGGTGGGGAGGCGCTGTGTTCAGTTTTATTTTCAGCCAGCCCCACTCATGCTGGCCGCTCGCCCTTGTGTTTTTGACCTTGAAGCCAGAAGGTAGGTTTTTTGCTGTGCATTTTTTTTTTAGAAAATGTAGAGTTCTGTTCGTCCCGCGCAAAGGGAAGATGTGTACAGTACGCCCTTTTTTTTCCCCCCGCGTATTGTGATTGTGTAGATCGTCACAGAGACCATCAACGTGGGAACGACTAAATCGGACGACGGCCACCCCCCCCCCCCCCAAGTGGATTGACTACCAGTTTGATCCACCGTCCACTCAGATTATTTCCACCAAGAATGATCCAAGTGATGAATGGACAATCGAATCGACCGACCAACTATCAAGTGAGGGACCAATGGAATCGATCTACCAAAAATAACCATGTAATGAGTCGACCAATCGCTCGGTGGTGAAAAATCCAGGACATTGCCACAGTCGACATCTTGGAGAGGGCCCAGAAGGTCGACCCGCGGGGGGAGCGCACGATCGGGGTGCTGACCAAGCCGGACCTGATCGGTCCGGGCAACGAGGACGAGGTCCTGGCGGTGCTGCACAACGTCAGGAAGCCCCTCCAACTCGGCTACGTGATGGTCAAGAACAGGTGGGGGGGGGGGTGCCCTGCCGATTGGTATTGCTCGTGGGTGCTGGGGTTTTTGTCTCGCATGTAGGTGGTGGTGGACTTGTTTTGGGTGGCAGGTGGTGCGGCTGATTTGTGTTCTCGAAGGACAAGCCGGACGTGAGCGTTGGTATGCCATGCGTAGATTCGAATAGTAGCCTAGGTGTGTGTTGAGTGTTTCGTGGTACGAACTATAAGGGAGAGGATCGATCTTTATTTTTGAAGCGGTTTCGTGTTGGTCGGGACAAATGTAACAAGAGTGGAGAGGAGGGGAAGGCGTTGTTAAAGGAAAGAAGGAAAAGGAAGGAGACGGAGAGAGAGAAGGGCGGGGCCATCGATCGCGAAGGACCAAAAACACATTACAGATCCCCCCTACAGTATCGCCTCCGAGCGTCACCTCGAAGAGTGCTTGCACCGCTCCTGTGTCCTACTGACGCACGCGTTCTGCCTTCTTTCTTTTGTTCTTGTCTGGTGATTTCCAGATCGCAGGCGCAACTCAAGGCGGGTCTTACCGGGACGGAGGCTCGAGAGGCGGAGGAGGCGTTTTTCCGTCAGCACTCTCACTTCAAGGGCTGCGACCCCAAGCTCTTCGGGGTGGCAAACTTGACCACCAGGTACGTGCTGCACGCTTTTGTGTGTGTGTTGCGTGCTGGTACGTCATCGAGAGGGGTGTTGCTGTTGTTGTTGCTGCTGAGAGGCATCTTGTGCGCATCTTGTTGTTGTAATGAGAGTCTGTGGGATTTGTTATGATGTTGATGAGAGGCATCTAAGGGTCGTTCTTAACGAAGAAATCAGATCTCGAAATCACATTTCGATATAAGAATAAAAGAGTCGGATCTACCCAAATCCGGACAGAAATGGCCTGTGTGTCTTAACGGGAGATCTGCCAAACGGAAACGAATCTCTGCAGTCCACCACGAACAACGCGAGAGGTCCGCCGCTTGCCAACTGCCAGATTGCTGTTGTGACGTACTGTTATGACGTGGCCACACCTCATGGGGAGCTATCGCTCCCGAGAAGCACACACCAAACGCGTACATGGCCTCTGTGCGGTAATGACACGATGTCTGTGCATGTGACACTTTGAATCGACCCTCGTCCGACGGAAAGCCGCCAATTCGTCTGTGCATTTGAATTTCGACAACCCACGGGAGATTGCCCCACAGACCAACACATCCTACACACGTTTTTTTTCGGGGACCAGTCACGTGCAACAACGATGCGTAGTCACCCTCCCTTTGGGTTGACTCTTTGTGCTCTTTCTTTCCTCTGTGCTCGGCGGTGGATGGAGTTCGTGTGGATGGGGGTAGGTGGGCACGCGCCGTGTATGCGAGTAGACCGTGGTCCCGCAACTATGGACGCTGTTCACCCAAATCGGGATCCGATTAAATGATTTCACCTTTTTTTAAATCCCGATTTGGTTTTGGGTCGTCCTGTTACACGTCCTAAAGATTCGACGGGTTCCATAACATTTCAGCCAATCAACGAAAGAGTTCTGTGGATCTTCCGGTCTTATAACCAAATCTGAATGTGATTTCGAGATCTGATTTCTTCGTTAAGACCGGCCCTAATGTGCGTATTGCTGTTGTGACCAGGTATGTATCTGCACGCATTCCCAACCTTCCTTTATCTAGAACCTCTGACCAGCAAGTCTTTGTTCGCGTGCTCGGGTGTGCACGCGCGTACCGTGCGTGCGTACTTGCGTTGCCTTGCTTGCAGGCTGACTCAGCTCCTGGTGACGCGAATCCAGCACGAGCTGGTGCCGATGAAGGCGGACGTGGAGACCGCTCTGGCCAGGTGCAGAGTAGCTGCTGTAACTAGTGTATAGCTGTCTGCAGTACGGCTGCGTGTTAGGCTCTCCGCTGTTGACTCGTTGCCTTTTTTTTTCTTTTGGTATCTTCGGCTTGCTTGTGCTGCTTGGTGCTTGGATTGCGCAGCAGCCGCAATGGCAGTCCGCGTTAACAGCAGCAGCACGCAGTTGTTGGAGCCTCCAGGCCTCGAAAACCTGTTCCTCTTACCAGATTTTGGGCGGGCTTAATATGGGCTTGCTGAAATTTTGAACGTACTCTTGTCTCTCGCTTTCAACCTCCCTCCCTCTGTGTGTGTATGTACCCCTCCTCCTCTCTCGCTCGCTCTTCCCCGCTGTCGTATTTTCCCCTCTCACCATCCCTCCTTTCTGCTGCCTGATGCGTTACGTGTTACGTGTGTTCCTCTGCGTTGTGCCTATTCTCTCTCCGTTCGTTCGTCTGTATTGGTGGGGCTCCCGGTGTTACCACGACGGCTGTAAATGCGATGCTGATGGTGCTGGCGCTGGCGCTGGCGCTGGTGATGCAGCGTGCGAACGGAGCTCAAGGGTCTCAGCAGCTACGGCAATGCCTCCACGCCCGGCGACCGGCAGAAGCTTCTCGTCACCGTAACACAGGTGAAACAATCTCACGTTTCAAGTACCTCGTCACAGCAACATGTAGGCCAAGTAAACATGATCGTTAACAGTGTGCTGCAATTTTTGTTTCTGTTCGCATTCCTGTTTGGTGCGCGTCACTCGCAATTTGTACCTCCCCCATGGGGTTGGCTATCTAACTGCACGACCCATCTCGGATCGCCCGGTAACGTTGCACGTCGTGGAATAGTGTCCACGGTGCAGTAGCTGCGGTGCTTGCACTCTTGGTATTTTCAGTACGTTCGGCTTGCCCTTGTCGTAGAAGTGTTTTAGCACGTTAGGCCCTGACTGGTCGTCATATGTCTATTACTCTGGACTTGCGTTTGGAGAATGGAATTTACAACCCGTTAGGCCGGTACCCTTCATAGGTACAGTATTTCGTTGGTTAGCAGCAGACCAGTAGTTCGAGGTTGTACTTGACCATTCAGCCGCCGGAAGATAGGCTTTAAACCTCAACGCAGCCATGTAGCCGCGCTCACTCTGTTTTTCCGGAAGTGTTTCGCACGAGTTGACACTACTGCAGCAACAGTACCTTGAGGCATACGGTGAATAAACGAATAACCTTTAGCCGGATGGCTCCTTCCGCATTCCCGTTCGTCAAATGTCACCGCCCTTTTTTGGCGGCAGGCAGTGCCAAAGGCTCATAATCCATGATACGAATCCACGCTATTGTTTATAGTAATCCTGCATTGAGCATTTTGACATTCGGTTCGCAGGAGTGTGCATGCATCAGCTGAATTTTCGGTCATACATGCATTGTAAACCTGCGCAAACGATTTTCGGCGGTCGGTTGGCAGGAGTACGTGCGTCACCTGAACTCGGTGGTCCAGGGGGAGTATCGGGACCGCGTCATCGTCGTGCACCCGCAGCTGAGGCTGTACACGAGGGCTCTCGGGGTGTTCGACGCTCTCAAGGGGAAGGTGGAGATGACCGCTCCGCGCTTCAATGTACGTTAAAAGTGACGGTGGTGGTGACGTCACCGCTCAGCGTGGGTGTTGTGGGAGCTCTGCGATAGGAATGTCGCGCGTTTTGAAATTTTTGGGAGTGGCGGTCGACCGGGTCTAGTTTTTGCAAGCGTTCTTTTTTTTAGGGGGGGAACGGGGGGGGGGGGAGTCTGCATTAGAGTCTGCATGGCCTTGCCGTGGGTCTTTGGACTCACTCTCCCTCTCTGCCAATCGATATATCGTTCTTCCACTCGCTGAAAAAGACTCCTTCAACACATCCCGTTCGACTGCTGTGGTTGCATCTCGAACGGGTAGTCTTTCTGTGTTTGCAGTATTTATTTTTTCTATTATGTAAAGGGAAGGTGGCGATGACGTTGCTCCTCGCGCTGGTATGCCTGTGCTGCGGCAGACAAGCGTGCGTGTGTTTGGTGCTTGTGATTAGCACCGAGACGGCGCTGTAGTCGACTTACCATTCCAAACACGGCAGTCTAACATGGCGGCAAAGAAAACGTTTGACCTTCTTTTCTAGTCTGCGGCCTCCAGTGTCTGTCAATTAGTTGTCTTCCAGTAGCATCGGCCGCACTTCACCGGCTGAGAAATGAATGTACGTCGACAAGAAAATAGACGTCAGTCTGCTCATAGCGGGGGGGAAATGACGGGTGGTGTGCATTTCTTGAGTTTGCATGGTCCGCACTAACCAGGCGATCAAGGCATGAGAGTGTGAGGACGATACTGCTTCACATCCGAGCAAGGGCATCGAGACCAACAGCCAAGCACATCGAACCCGCCAGCAGCAATAGGCAGTTGGACGTAGGAACCACCCCCCATTTGAAAGGTGAAATGTGGCGAAAACGCTCCATGGATCTATCTCACAAAAGTGTATTCTGCTGTCTGCATGCGTACTGCTGTACACAGGACGAAGATTTCGTGGAGCAGCTGGCGAGCCAGATGGACGCGCTGAGAGGGCGGGAGCTGCCGGGCTTCATGTCGGCGCAGTCGTTCTACATGTTCATGGCGCAGTACGTCGAGGCGTGGAGAGACCCGGCGCGCGTCGCGGCCACCGAGGTATGCTTGTAAGATTTACACCCATTGTACGCATGTTTTTTCGTTTGTTTTGGCATGTTGGCGTTCTGTTAGAATTTATTGTTCAATGTAGACAGGCGTTTCGCTCTTGTTGCCGTAGGAAGCGTTTTTTTTTTTTGCGGTCAACGCAGTTAGGTTTTGTATAACGAATAGCGTTGGTACTACGAATAGCGTTAGCGCCAGTGATCATCAGCAATGAAGGGCCAACCGATCGCTCCCTGCGGCGAGAAAGGACTGGGTTACGCCTCGAAGGCGATCGACTGATGGTTCGAAGTCCTGGCGGCATTATTTAGGAGAGATTTTTGGGCCCGTTTGTTTTGTGAACCACATGACGTAGATTTGTTTTCTTGTTGACTTTTCTACGGGAGGGGGCGAAGTAGCAGCAGCAGCAGCAGCAGCAGCAGCAGCAGCCGACCTTCGCCCGTTTGCCATGGTTCGCCGGGTTCGTTTTTGTATGGCGCACGTTTGGCGCACTGTCTTCGTTGTCATCATCGTTGCACATTTTTGGTCTTCGTCTTCGTCTTCGTCTTGTTGGTTGTCGTCGTCGCGGTTGTTTACATTTTTTTTCTGCTGTCTTGTCTGGCTGGCGTGATGCGCAAGCAGGTGCGAAGCCTGAGCCTGGAGGTGGCCACCAAGCTCCTCGACGTGTTGGTCGTGCAGTACCCGGCGCTGAGGGAGGCGGTGAGGTCGGTGGCCGGGGTGGTGATGGAGACGGCCTATGAGTCGGCGCTTGAGGAGGTGGACGATCTCCTGGCCAAGGAGAAGGACCCCTTCACCGTAAGTGTTGCGTCTTTTGTCCAAGATCCAGTCCCGACGGATTTACACGTATCCTCCTTGTCGTGTACGTAACCTTTTTTTTCGTCGAGGAATTTTTTTTGTGGCCTCTTTGTCAACATCTACGCTGAACTTCCAACCAATATCATTATTGTATTGATTGTTGTTTATGCGAATTTGTTTTTGTTAATTCTTGTTGCGTTCGGGACAAGGGAATCTCTCATCGGCCGTTGTCGATTGATCCGGACTATGTTTGTGCGTACGAATTTTTTTTATTTTCTTCTTACACACGTTCGGAACGAGGGAATCTCTCATCGGTCGTCGTCGATTGATCCGTTTGCGAACGAGGGAGCTTTTCCGTCCGCCCTGATTTGGCCTTGTGGTTGACTTTTTGTTTTTTCTCGCTCTCTTGAATCGTTTGTTGAAAGCATTGTTTAGGCCGTTTTGTTACAGTGGTTGGGTGGCGTGCCTTTTTTTTTGCCGTTTGTGCCCTCTACGAGACGTTTCTGAGAAGTCGTTTTTGGAGGCTCTTTTTGTATTGCGCGTTTTGCGTAGCACACCCTCTGCACACGCAGCCTCCTCTTTCCTCCGTTCACGCAAATTTCCCAGCAACCGCTTTTCTTCCGTGAAAACACATCATCTCCCCCCTCGCCAAGAACAAAATCATTCTCCATCGACCCCCCCCCCCCCCCTTTTTTTTCCCCCCCTTCCCCCCCCCCCCCCCTCTCCCCATTTAAAAACCCATTTTTCCTTTAACCCCAACACCCCCCTCCCTTAAAAACCCCCCAACCAACCCCCCTCCCCACCTTTTATCCCTCCTCTTACACCCTTCTTTCTCTTCCCCTAACCCTCACCCCAAAACCTTTCTTTCTCCAAAAACAAACCCCCCCCCCTTCCC